TCCCCTTCTTCCTTCCCTTACCTCTCCCCTACTCCTACCCTCTTTCTTCTCCTTCCTACCCTCTCTCCTTCTCTTTCTCTCTCTTCCTCCCTCCTCTCCTCTTTCTCTTCCTTCCACCCACCTCTCCTTCTCTTTCTCTCCCTTCCACCCACCTCTCCTTACCTCTTTCTTCTTCCCCTACCTCTCCTCCACACTTCTTCCTCTCCTACTATCTCTCCTCCTCTTTCTCTCTATATATGTATTATATTTCTAAAGAAATAATTCTTCTCAGAAAAAAAGCCTTTTTCTTAAGCATCTTTATTATAATTAATTCTCTGGTGTGTTTTTCTGTTCAGTATGTTACTGTGGGAGCACCTCTCGAGAAGTGTTATGTGGAGCAAGTGAAGATTGGTTTTCATGCCTGAGAACTTGTGGGAAGTAAGAAAATAGCTTATTTAACGTATATTTTATCGATCTGTTTTTCCATATTTATTATCAATATAACATTACAAACCAATTGCAATTCTAATTTCAGAAAATTATCCTGTGGAATGCATAGCTGTGAACAAGTGTGCCATCCGCAGCCCTGCCAGCCTTGCCCACGGCTTCCACAAATAGTGCACTGTTGTCCTTGTGGACAGACTTCTCTTAGTAAATTACTAGAGTTGGGGTGCCCGGAACGTAAACTCTGTACAGATCCTATCCCATCATGTGGAAGAACGTGTGGAAAGCCTTTACCTTGTAGTAGCTATGGTAATTAAACATTGCTTGCTTCCATGCTTAAAAATGTGTATCGTGCTTTAATGATCAAGTTTGCAAAGCGAAATACTAAAAGCCTAATTTTGAACAAAAATAACTCATTTCCATGGTGATAAATTTTAGTTTAGAAAAAACAGACATTCTGAGAGCAAAATGGATAAGAAATTGATGTTTGTGGCTGATTTGTTTATAACGGAAGATTGAAAGAATCAGTAAAAACAACAGTGAATGTTCTGAATGAGAGACAGTCTTTTTTAAAAAAAAAAAATACTATTTTTTTAAAATACTCTCCGGAAAATAGATGTGGCAGAAAAGAAAACGAAGAAAGTGGAATGAACGAAGAATGATTGCAGTTATTTGAAGTTTGAAGTTTAATTTTATTTATAGGCCGCCCAATCCCGAAGGACTCCGGGCAGCTTTATTAAACAGTATAAATAGATTAATCTTCCACACAATTAATGTGAAGTGGACATAAGAAAACATGTGGAACAGAATGAAATAAGTTTCAGAATGCTTCAGAAGTGTGAGGGAAGTATGAATTCACACTCCGGGAATGAGGAAGTGAAAGAGGCTATGGATTAAGAAAACAAATAAAGGCAGTCCTTGACATATGACCCCAATTGAAACTAGAACGTTAGTTGTAGAGAAAAATATTAAATGAGGTGTGTGACTGTTTCACTCAACGACCACAATCCCAGCTCTCTCGGTTGTGGTGGTTAAGTGGTTTTGCAGATTGTTAAGGGGAGTCCCAGATAAAGATTTTAGGAGTGTTTCAGGGATGGGGGAGACCCCAGGGGGGGGGGGGGGCAAAAATGAGCAAAAAAAGCTTGGAAGGATCTTTCCCTGCCCAGTGAAGGGGGGGGGGGGGGGGCTAATGCAGGTTGTGCATGAGTTTGGGGGATGCTGCAGTGAAACACATGTAATGCATGCTATGCAGACCAGATTTTTGCTTTTCAGAAAATCCCTGAGAAATGTAATACTTACAAATAAAAACTTACTTGAAACAGTGTATGCCGGAATTGTCATCACTAATCAATATAGTCATGTGATTTCACACTTTATGACCACTTTGCTTAGTGACGGAAATTCTGATCTTCATTGTCTTAGAGGACTTCATGTAGTAGGGAGTTATCTTCCTAAACTGCCTCACAATATATATATATATATATATATATATATATATATATATA